GTCTTTGTGTGGACATAAATTTTTACCTCCTTTGGATAGATACATGTTCAGTTTTGTAAGAAACTGCTAAACTGTCTCCCAACATGGCTATACTATTTGCATTCCCATCAGCAATGAGTAAGCGTTCTTGTTGCTCCACATTCTGGTACATTTGATGGTGTTAGTATTCTGAATTTTGTATCTATGTGTATACCTTCTAATCCCTTCTAATACGTACATAGTGCTATCTCATTGTTGTTTTGTCTTTCCTAGTGACATACGATATGGAGTGTCTTTTCATATGCTTATTTGACATCTGCATATCTTTTTTGGTGAGACGTCTATTCAGATCTGTTGCCCATTTTTTAATTGGTGTTCATTTTCTTCTTGTTGACTTTTAAGAGTTCTATGTATATTTTGGATAACAGCTCTTTATCAGATATGCATTTTACAAGTATTTTCTCCCAATCCGTAGTTTGTATTTCTGTTCTCTTAACAGTGTCTTTAATGGAGAAGTTTTTCCTTTTAATAAAGTCCTACTTATCATTATTTTCTTCCATGCATCGTGCTTTTGTTGTATCTAACCAAACCCAACGCCCCTATCATTTCTCCTATGTTATCTCATAGAAAGAAGTTTAAAGTTTTAATTTTAAATTTAGGTATATGATCCATTCACCTTTTGTGGAAGGTGTGATATTTCGTGTCCGGCAATGGACCGCAACCCTCAGTGTCGCGCCTGTACCGGACCGGGACCGGCAATGGGATCGCAACCCTCGGTGTTGCTCCCTGCACCTCGCTCAGCCAGTGAGCGGGAACCGGTCCGCATGTGGGATCCGAACCCTCGGCGGGAGCGCCACTGCGCTTCCCAAGCAGCGCACTGTAGCAGTGCGCCACCGGGCCGGCCCCCTTTTACCCATTTTTTAATCAGGTTGTTTGTTATTGTTAACTTTTAAGAATTCTTTGTATATTTTGGATAACAGTTGTTTATTATATGTCTTTTGCAAGTATTTTCTTGCTATCTGTGGCTTTTTTCATTCTTTTGACAGTGTCTTTCACAGAGCAGAAACTTTTAATGAAGTCCAGTTTATCAATTCTTTCTTCCATGAATCATGCCTTTGGTGTCAAATCTAAAAAGTCATCACTATACCCAAGGCCATCTAGATTTTCTCCTATGTTATCTTCTAGAAATTTTATAGTTTTGCATTTTACATTTAGGTCTGTGATCCATTTTGAGTTCATTGTTGTGAAAGGTATAAGGTCTGCATCTAGGTTCTTTTTTTTTTTTTTTTTTTTACATGGATGTCCAGTACATGACTTATTGAAAAGATTATCTTTTTTCTCCTTTGTCAAAGATCAGTTGACTATACTAGGGTACCTCAAAATGTTCGTGGAAAAGTAGAATTGAAAGGTATTACTAATCTTTCTATGAACTTTTTGAAGTACCCTCGTATTATTGTGGCTCTGTTTCTGGGCTTTCTGTTCTGTTCCACTGATCCATTTGTCTGTTTTTTGCCAATATACCACACTGTCTTGTTTACTGTAGCATTATAGTAAGGCTTGAAGTTGGTGGTGTTAGTCCTTCAACAACTACTTCTTCAATATTGTATTAGCTGTTCTGGTCTTCTGCCTCTCCATATGTGATACTTAATTTTATGTTATGGAATGTTATTTACAACCTGACCAGATCATGAGGTGCCCAGATGTTTGGCTAATCATTATTTCTGGGTGTGTCTGTGAAGGTGTGTCTGGGTGAGATTAACATTTGAATTGATAGACTGAGTAAACCTCCATTGTGGGTGAGCAGCATCCAATCTGTTGATGGCCTGAATAGAACAAAAAAGTAGAGGAAGGAAGAATTCCCTCTGTGCCTGTCCACTCTCTTGCTCTCTGCTTGACTGCTTGCACAGAGACATCAGTTTTCTCCTGTCCTCAGACTGGAACTTACGTTATTGGCACTCTTGGTTCTTAGGCCTTTGGACTTGGACTAAAACTTGTACAGTTGGTTCTCAGGCCTTTGGACGTGGACTGGAACTGGAACACCAGCTTTCCAGGTTATCTAGCTTACACACAACAGATCGTGGGACATCTCAGCCTCCATAATCACATGAGCCAGTTCCTTAAAAGAAATCTCTTTCTAGATATCTGTATATATCTAGATCTCTATCTATGTCTGTCTGTCTTTCTCTCTCTGTCTCTCTTTCTACACACACATGCGTGCGCGCACACACACACACACAGAGAGTTTTCTTTCTCTGAAGAACTCTAATACACCATATAAGCTTTAGAATCAGTTTGTCAATATCCACAAAACCACTTGCTGGGATTTTGATTGGGATTGTATTGAAACTGTAGATCAAGTTGGGAAGAACTTAACATTTGACAATATTGAGTCTAAGTGTCCATGAATATAGAATATCTCTTCTTATTTAGTTCTTTATCCTGAGGTTTTTTAATTTCAAATTTGAAGTGTTCTTTTTACCTTTACAATTGCTAACTTAATTTGAAGTGATACATTCCAGTTTTCTTCTCTTTTATGACTGTATTTGTGATTTTGACAATTTTTAATGGCTGAAAACTCAGTGGTTGCTGGGTTCATTAGGTGTTGCTCTTATGTACCTTCTGTACTGTATTCTTTGTATTGGAGTTTCTGTAGATGTGGGGGGGCAGGGTGGTTTACTTTGGTTCTTAATTCCCAAGGACCCTGTTTGATTACTACAAACACAAATGGAGATTTCTTACTCTCTTCTTTTAATCTGACATGATTTTTTAACATATTAGGCATCTCAGTAGGGTTCTTATCTTTAGCTACTTCTTATTTCCCTTTATCACCATGCTTCCAGAAACACCTCCCATTTTCAAGGTGCCTTCTCCCCCACCCCCAGCACCGTCTTGTCAAGACTCTCATCTTTGGAGACAGCCCTTCTCATATACTTTCCAGACTTCTTCCTTTTGAACTAACAGTGGCAAAATGCTTTGATTCACTAGGTCCCAAATCCTTTCTTAGGATTTCCCCACTCAGAGTTGACCCCATCTTGGTGGTGAATCTTAGTTGTGTTATCTGACTTTTCCACCTCTAAGACCTTATCATATCTTCCTCTCTTTTATAGAGTCCTCATTTGACTCTCTACTTGAGTGGGCTCCAAAGCCAATTCGATTGGTCTTAAATTTTTATTTCCTCAACTGCACGTAAAATTAAGTGATTTTAGTTTGCATTTCCCTGATGTTGAGCATGTTTTCAAGTACCTATTGCCCATTTGTATGTCTTTCTTCAAAAATGTCTGTTTAGCTCCTTTGCCCATTTTTTAATTGTTATTTGTTTTTTTCACTGTGTAGTTGTTCGAGTTTTTTGTATATTCTAGACATTAATCCCTTGTCAGATGTATAGTTTGCAACTATTTTCTCTCATTCAGTAGGTTTTCTTTTCACTCTGTTGATCATTTCCTTTGCCGTGCAAAAGCTTTTTAGTTTGATATAGATTGGGATAGGTATTTCATAGGTTCAAAGATAAATATCTTTGTTCATCTCTATCAATTGTATATTCTTTATTGTTATATAACTGTTTCCTTCCTATTCTCAGCTTGATGGTAGCAACTGTGCCCTCTTCAGTTTGTTTTGCCATCGCCTGTGTGCCTCCACAGGATACTTAATATGAATGAGTTTCAACTCCTATCTATAATTAAAGTTAAAACTAAATCTACGTAAAATAAGTTAAAGAAGTATTACATAATAGGAAATAAGAAAAACTGAAGTTGAACTAATGGCATCCTGTAAGTGTGATAGAGAAATAGACATTGTTCTCTCTGACCATAGTTCTACTTGTTGAGACCAGTTTTAAACTAATTTTTCTTCAATTCTTACTTGTCTTCCCATGTGTTTTTGGAACTTCACCAAGCAGTGTCTGTGGAGAAAAAATAGTGTAGCTTTGATTAAAGTATGAACTCTATGTAGTAATAATGTGATTTATTTTAAGAATCTAAAAAGAAAGAAAATTTGTTCAGATTCCATCCTCCTTCACTTTAAGTAGCTTTGATAATTATATCAGTTAACTGCTTTCATGTGTGTATCTCCTGTCAAATTGTAAGCATAAGGGCCAGAGCTAGGTCTTACTGGTCTTTTTTTTCCTTTAAGTTTCTTGGCTTTAATAGCTAATAGTTGTTTGAGTTGATCTGTGGTGCATATTTGTTGTCCTATTACGTACCCAGGTATGGTGTCCTATTATATTTACCCTATAATTATATTAGGTACATCATAAGTTTTAAGAAAAATGTTTGTAAGTATATGCCAGTCATATGTTTCTGATTCTGGATAGCAACCTGATGTGGACTTAACTATATGGGTTTAAAATTGTAAATCTTGAAAAATCTGAATTTTAATTGTGTAAGAATTGGGACAAGTGGGAATGATCTCCTGGTGGACAGGAATAATTTCCAAGTGTTATAAAAATTGCTATTATGTTCAAATTTTTGTTCTGTTTGAACCTATATCTTTATGGTAGGATACCATTTTTACCTAAACTAGATTTGTATGCCCTTCTCTCAGAGCAAATAAAAAGAAAAATGATCTCTTAATATATTGACAATCTGACTTTGTTATCATAAACCAAGAAGGACCTCAAAACAACTGTTGGGTTATCTGTTTACTACCAGCAAAGCTGACTCAAAATTAACTGTAACTACTATTCTTTCTGGATTCTCTCACTAACTAGCAGTATTATCTAAACTTTGCTGGAGGAACTTATGTTTTAGTTAATAAGGAAGTCCCATAAAATGTACACAGACATGTCTATACTCCCGATAAAACATATTCTTATCTATTTAGCATAATCTATGATCATTTTTTTTTCTATAGTAACTAAAAAGTTGTGAAAGTGCTACAAGTTTCTCAAACTTACTTCTGTTTAACATTTTCATAATAGGAATCATTAAAGTTTAAAAGTCTGATTAATAAAGACTAATGTTTTTCCATTTCACTTTATTATTCATATTCAGTATTTTAAAATATAACTTTATTTCGACTTGTAGTGTATGCAGAGAATATTTCCAAAATGGTGGGAAGAGAAAAGCACTTGAGAAAGATGAAAAAAGAGCTGTACTTGCTACTAAGACCACTCCAGCCTTAAACATGCATGAGTCTTCTAAACTTGAAGGTCATTTAACGAACCTCAACTTTACAAATCCTGAATTTATAACTGAGTAAGTATACTTTTTCTGCTTCAATTATTAACATTATTCTGCTTAGCTGTGTTAATGTAAAATAGTGTAATGGTTTATACCAAGTAGTAGGCAGTTACTTGGTCCTCTGGTAAAATGTTAGGCTGAGGAATGCAGATTTGTAGTATGAGGGGGTCATCAAAAAGTTCATGGAAGGATTCATATTATCTTTTAATTCAATTTTCCACAAACTTTTTGAAGCACCTCATATTATTCGGCAAAAATCTAGCATAAAATTTTAAGAGATTATCTGGAAAATTACTGGTTCTATAGCATGTATTGTCCTCACTAAATATAAAAAAAATAGTTTATTAAACGTTAAAATAATTACTTATAATACAAAGAATCAAAACAGCAAAATCTAATTAATCTTTAATTTACAGTGGCTATCCACTAAGAAATTACAAATAAGAGGGAAAAAATGGGAAATTATTAATAGAACCAATTGCCATTAATTTATTGTTGATATGAAAATCTGCATGCTAGGAATGTTTTGTACGTATATAGGCACAAATTTTGTAAGTACATGAGTATTATAATCCAATTAATTATTAGTAGTATTAAAATTATTTATATGCCCTAGAACCCAGAATGGATTTATGGTATCAAGTAATATTTTATTAATCACTTGAAAATGCTACACTTAAATAATTCTAGAAACATTGTTAATAGACATTGAAAGTAACCATGAAAATGAAATTAAACTCTTAAACAATTTCAAAACTGTAGGTATCAATGTAGCATCACCTTTGTTTACTTTGATCTTACACCATGTTGAAAATATTATCTAGTTATAAGCAATTTCATTTAAAAGTGAATTAACATATCTTTGATTAGTTCAGTAGGAAAGGATAAGACACCTTTATCTTTATTCAAAGGTTATTGCAAAGCTTTTAAAGCATAATGACTTATTAAATATCCTACAGTCAGATGTTATGGACATTCTTAAATATTTTTTAAATGTTGACCAATATAAGAAATTATAGGGCTGGCCCGGTGGCGCACTGCTACAGTGCACCGCTTGGGAGCGCGGTGGCGCTTCCGCTGAGGGTTCGGATCCCACATACAGACCGGTTCCCGCTCACTGGCTGAGCGAGGGGCGGGCGCAGCACCGAGGGTTGTGATTCCGTTGCCGGTCCTGGCCCGGTACGGGCGCGACACTGAGGGTTGTGGTCTGTTGCCGGACACGAAAAAAGACAAAAAGGAAAAAAAAAAAAAGAGAAATTATATAGTTAGATTTTAAAAAAAAAGATACATATGCAAAGTATCAATTCTAGAATTTTTCTGTCATTCTTTTTATAGTCTTTATTTCATTGTTGAGATTCTTTTATTTATTAAGTCATTGTCACATTTTTCTTTTTTTTTATTGTTTTATTTTTTCAACTTCTCAATATACATTTTAGTTGATTTTCGTGAGCCTTTACCCATTCCTCTTTCCCCCATCCCTCTCTCCCCTTCCCCACCACATCATATCTGTTCACTTGTCTTAAGTTCAGGGAATTGTTGTGACTGTTGTGTCTTCTCCCACCACCCACCCTTTATTTGTTTGTGTGTTTATTTATTTATTTATTTATTTATTTTTAGCTCTCACAGATAAGTGAGAACATGTGATATTTCTCTTTCTGTGCCTGACTTGTTTCACTTAACATAATTTTCTCTAAGTCCATCCATGTTGTTGCAAATGGTAGTATTTCATTCTTTTTTATAGCAAAGTGGAATTCCATTGTGTAGATATACCACAGTTTCTTTATCTACTCATATGATGGACATTTGGGCTGGTTCCAACTCTTGGCTATTGTAAATAGTGCTGCAATAAACACTGGAGTACAGATATCCCTTCTGCGTGATGATTTCCATTCCTCTGGGTATATTCCTAGCAGTGGAATAGCTGGGTCATATGGTAGATCTAACTGTAGTTGTTTGAGGAACCTCCCTACCATTTTCCAAAAAGGCTGTACCGTTCACATAGTTAAGACACTTTCTTTTGTTTTGCACTTACATTTCATGAAAACCAAATTTTTGTTATTAGTAGAGTCACTTTTAAACCACCTGTAACCCGAAATTGAGATATGGCATTTTTTGAATCTTTATGTAATGTGACTGCTAGAAACTTTATCCTAAATCCTGACTAATATTAGGATAGCTGTGCCCAACCCAATCCCCCAGTGTGTGTGTATACACACACACACACACACACACACAATTGTAATTGACACAAAATAAATACTTTGCTGTCTTTTTAAAAATATTTATATTTTTTCGAAACACTCACCAAATAGACTACTTCCTGGGCCATACGACACCTTAACAAATTTAAAAAGATAGACCATCTTGCAAGTATGCTCTCAGACTATAACAGAATTAAACCAGAAATCGGTAACAGAAAGAGAGGTGGAAGATCCCAAAATATTTATAGATTTAATAACATACCTTTAAATAACACATGAGTCAGACAAAAAGCCTCAATAAGATTCAAAAGTATTTTGACCTAAACGAAAATGAAAATACATCTTACCAAATTTGTGGTATATAGTGAAAGCAGTATTTAGAGGGAAATATATAGTATTGAAAACATATATTAGAAAAGAAGAAAGATGTAAAGTCAACAAAATAAGCTTCTACCTTAGGAAACTAGAAAAATAAGAGCAAATTAAATCCAAGTAAATGGAAGAAATAATGAAAATTAGAACAAAAATTAATGAAACTGAAAACAGGAAATCAGTAGAGAAATCTATAAAACAAAAAGCTGGTTCTTTGAAAACATCAATAAAATTGATAAACCTCTAGCACAGCTAACCAAGAAAAAAAGGGAAGATACAAATTACTAATATCAGAAATAAAAGAGGGCCCATCACAATGCATTTCATGGACAGTAAAAAGAAAATAAAGGAATATTATGAACGTTTCTGTGCCCACAATTTAGATAACTTGGATGAAATGTTCCAGTTCCTTGAAATACATGATGTACTAAAATTCACACAAGGAGAAATAGATAATCTGAAAGGCCTGTATCTATTAAAGAAATTGAATCAATAATTAATAGCCTTCCAAAACAGAAAGCATTAGGCCCACATGTTTTCACTGGTGAAATCTATCAAACATTTAGGTAAGAAATGATATCACTTCTGTATAATCTGTTCCTGAAAATAGAGTCAATAAGGAATACTTCCTAACTCATCCTATGATGCCAACAGAATTTAACTTAAGACACTGAACCAGGCTTCCCATTTCCCAATCTGAATTAACACTGATGTGTTCCTGATGAATTGTATAAACATTAGATAAGAACTGAATCTATATTTGGGGTTAAGTTATACCGTAGTTGCTTGTGATGGAAATAAACCTAAGGACAGTAGGAAATGGAAGAATTCATCTAGTTGCCTGATGATGTTGCTTTTTAATGTGATCTTTTAAGAAAATATTCAACAATTGCAATTGTAAAGCTATACATACTTCAATGTAGAATTGCTAAATTTGTGCTAAATTCTTTTGCCTTTCTTTTTTTTTGGGGGGGGGCAAATTCATCAAGTGATTTTTCATCAAGTAAGCAACCAAGTTACATTTGTTTGAAGTCATTTCAGGCTAGTGTTAGTTTTTTCCAAATAGTACTTTATTGTTCAAAGTAAGGAAATTGAGAGGGCTCAGTAGCCTAGAGACTTGGTAGAGCTCAAATGTAAGGCGATGTCCTCATTTCTGAAAGATAATATGGTGGAAAGAATCTTGCTTTATATACATTATTCTTTCAATGGACATTTAGGTTGTTTCCTTTCTCACAGTTTTACCTCATCATTAAACCTCTTTGCATTTGAATTTTCAAGTCCTTGGGAGAGATTCCCAGAAGTGGATTTCCAGGTTGAAGAGTATAAATGGCTTTAGGTTCTTGTACATATTACTGAATTCTGTTCCAGAAAGATAATATTAATTCCATTACTTCTAGCAGTGTAAGTTCCCATTTTGCCAAAATTTACTGGCATCACTATTTTCCTTTTTTCACTCTTTATTAACACAGTGGAATAAAATGGAATCCCATTGTGTCAGTATGCATTTCTAACAGATACCTAAAATATAACAAGGAAAAGTAAATTTGTAAAATAGAAGAAAAGAAAATAATATGAAATCAGGAAAGTAAATACATTCTGTGAAGTTCTAGTACTTGCTATAGTAGAAACATGTCATTCATGGTATCATTATACTTTCTAAAATCTATGGTGAATAGGTAATTGGTCATAGGATCATTCCTACAGAGCCTGGACTTGGCCTAAGAATTTTTTTTCACACAGCACTCTAAGAAGCCATTACCAATTAGTTAGTCAGTATGAGAGAAGAAACTTATCTATCCTTTATGTCCATTACCCTTGCCATAAGTAGGAATACATTTTGACCCTGAGCTTCTTAGCAGCTAAGGCAGACCTGTGAATAGGATCATTTATTTATTTCCTTTTTTTGAAAATCGTCTGTTTATGTCGTTTTCCCACTTAACTATTGGGATCTTAAGTGTTTGTCAATTTGTATGAGCTCTTTAGTACTCCGGATATTACTTGATGTATATAGTTGTTAGAGTAGGAGCTTAACTCATGCTTTTTGGGTGGAAGGAAGGAAGGACATGTTTAGTGTAGCAGAATTGTGTTTTTATAATCATTTGCTTGAGACTCCATTGGTAGAGAAAAGGAGAAGAGAAGGGGTGGTGGCAGTGAGCCAAGGAAGGACTGTAAAGAATATTAGGTGGTCACTGCCAATCTAGGAGTCTCACCATAGGCCTTATCTCTGTTCTGTCTTAGGATATAAGATATTGAACATTTTCTTAAAAGGTTTGTGACAGAGAAGGGGAACATAATACATGATGATAGGTAATGTCTAACAGAAGACCTAATTAGACATATTAATTCTTATTTTGCCAGTTCAGTTTATGACAGTTGGAAAGTGATTTTGTATACCTTTTATTAATGTTCTCTAGCTTTGGTATTCTTTTTAAAAAATGTTTT